TTAAAAAAGATGCTCGATTACCTAACCCAGTTCGAGATGATTTAGAGGATGTTTGATTGATGGATTCAGAATCATGACTCAGAACTATTCTCGATTTACGTGTGTTTTTTGTGAGAGCGTTTGGTTGATGGATTTAGAATCATGACTCAGAACTATTCTCGATTTACGTGTGTTTTTTGTGAGAGAAAACACTGTAGCGAGCTACGAACCATGATCCGAATTATGGTACTGATCCTTGAACCAAATGCACGCTTAGTATTTGTTTGAGATGCTGGAAAAAGTTTTGTTGCATGGCTGAAAGCTCTCATCATATGGCCAAAAAGTGAATAGTGAATTTATAGTACTTTTATTTTCTTTTGAGATTATTATTAACTAATTTTCATATTTTTCTGTACGTAGGCTACTTCAAATGGAAAGAAATCAAGACCTGCTATTTCAAATCCCCAAAAGACTCCTCAAGCATCAAGAAATAAATCTATAAACACCTCTGGATCTCACTCGGTAGCACAACCGAAGAATTCAAAACAAAAAGAGAGTATGAATAGTACTATTGAGATGCTTAAATCCTTAAAAGTGGTGTACAAGTATGCTACTGATTATATGACAATAGCACAGACTTTTGAGATCCCAATGCCTGCCGATATCCTAGGTCATGAGCATAATCAAATTATTTTGCAAGAGGACATTATTCAATTTGGTGCAATGGTAGAAATTTCAGCTACATGCATAGCAATATACATGAAGTTTATGAGTATATAAACTTTGATAAAATGTTTTACCTATATAATATTTCTAACTTGTTATTTGGTTGTTAGGTACCTTTTGTCAAGATTGTGTGAGTGCTCTTGACTTTGTGTCAAAAGTTCAAGTTTGTGGATCCATGTCGTATGGCGGTCCAAGGTGGACTAACTAAGAATGATTGTTTGCGTTTTTTGAAAGATGTATTGGAAGGTTGCCACCAAGGGCAACTCGTTTTTGCTCCTTATAACTCGTCGTAAGTTCTATTTTTAATAACAAATGCCTTACTTCCACGAAGACCAATTGCTAATTTGATTCTCAACTAGCCTTTCCACATTTTTGTAGAGCACATTGGATTTGAATGTTATTAATCCGCAAGATGAAGTTATATATTTCCTTGATCCCCCTTGGAATGAGCCAACCAAAAAAATGAAAGAAGTTATCAATAAGTAAGTTGATCTATACTTTATTTATATAGTTGGATTTTATAGCAAATTTGGATTTTACTAATATATATATGTTTGCTTTTTTCCACAGTGCTCTCAAGATGTATGGCCTTAAAAAAAGAAAGCAATCACAATGGATTCAAATAAAGGTAAGTTAATTATCATTAATTAGACTACTTATGATATTATTTATGTTATTTTTTGTTAAGACTTAGGTTCAGAAATTTGAGAATTCACACAGAAAGTGAGAAATTGTAAGGAAACAATCGGATTGAATTGATTAAGACTTCAACTATCGACGGAATTACAGGAAAATATGGGGGTGTTTGAGTGACCCCTTGCACTCCCTAGAGCCTAAGCTCGTCTATGACAATTACAGAGAAGTTGATCCAATGCCCCTCCTATCCTCCTCTCTCTGTTTTTATTCCTAAGTTCTCACTAACCGCTTCCCTCTTCCCTTCACCTCTTCCGAGGCCCTCTCGAGATCCGAGACATCACGCTTTTCACCCCGCAGTGAGCTCAACAGCTCCTTGCGTCCCCTCCATGTCAACCCCTTTTTCTCCTCTAACCGTTTCCACCTCACCAGCCTCCACCTCATCCCTTGCTACCACACCAACCCGAACTCTTCTAGGCCTTCTTCGAGCATAGGTGAAATGTAATGGGGGTCCAGGGAACCCATCAATTTTTTTTATATTTATCATATGTTTGTATACTAAAACTAATTATATCGTTAATATAGTGCCCTAAACAACTATCCGATGTGGAATGTGGCTTTTGTGTAATGAGATTTATGAAGGATATAATAATGACAAAGATGACAATTTCCCCTAAAGTACGTATAACCAATCTTTAATATAATTATATCTTTAATAGGTCATTTGCTTTTGTTGGATTTGGTAATTATTGTGTACTTGTCTACTTAGTTAAATGGATATGTACATTTCGGGTTGGATGTTGCTTATTCATATACTTATTAATTATATAAAGATGATTCACATTAGTATTATGGAATTGTGTATGACTTGTATTTTTTTTAATCAAGTAATAGCTTTATTTTTGAAAGCTATGTGTATTTAATCATTAAATGATATCTACCTAGATGCCGTTACAATTTTTCATAATAACGGTTGAAATAAACTATTGGTATTTAGTTACATTGTTCTATATTTTTAACAATGGATTTTTAATTGACTTTAAATATTTTTGACATTGGTTAAAAAAATGACTTTTTCTACTTTTTAACAACGAATTTTTAGTTGAGTTCTTTAAACATTCTTCACATCGGTTCAAAATCGACTTCTTTCTATACTTCTGACAAGGAAGTTTGATCTACTTTAAACATTTTTAACATCGGTTATTAGCAGGCTAGTTGAACACTCCATGACGTCTTTAACAACGGTTGTGTGTAATATGTAACATCGGTTTAAATCCGTTGTTATAAAAGCTAATTTTTAATATCGCTCAATTCGACGTCGGTACAAAAACCGATATTAAAGATTCTTTAACAACAGTTTTTGGCTGACGTTAATCAGTGTTTTTTTTTTTTT